AGATACAGAAACATATGCTATGTGGTGTCCATTCCTCTGTTTTCTTTCTAGTTTCTGCTAGGCTCTTTCACTTTGTAGGAGGACAGTTATTGTTTTTGTGCTTTGATTTTTTTTAATTGGCCAAAAAAGCAAACCCATTAGCACAAAAATCCTAAATTTTGATTGAATTTTGATCAGGCAGACGATATGGTTCTATTCCCAATCAAAACACAACTTCACTACCCAAACCGCGGGTATTTGATCAGACAGAGATATGGTTCAATTCCCAATCAAAAAAGAAAACTTCACTACCCAAACCACGGGTTCAATTTGATTCCAATCTAAAAGAATTTGGCTTCACTGCCTTTGTATTTACTCTTCAATCAAAAATCAAAAATCACAATTAAAGTAAGATATCTTGAATTTGAGTAAAAGAGATATTCAAGGATCAAGAACCAAAACCTGTAGTCGCCAGTGAACACGTGGTATCACCCAAACAGACTGAGGGAAGTAAATTAATCCTAGAGACGTTCAGAGGGAAACCCAAGATCGGAGGATGCTGAACGAGGGGGTCGAGGCAGTAACTGCCGTTTCCGGTTGGCGTAAACACAAAAGTTGTGACATCGGAGGATTTAGGAGAAAATGTGACGCTGAAGTTGTTTGGAGGGGCGGCAATGACCGGAAGACAAGCCACAAACTCCGCCGCTGGCTCCGCCACACATTCTGTATTCGGCGATGTTGCATCGCCGGCGACGAGATTCGAGATTTGAATGAGAAGGATTCCAATCGAAAAGATCATGGCTTTCTTAGCTTTAGCAAGCTCCCTCTCTTGCCTCAACATTCTACTGCTTTTTTCTTCACTCAAAGTGATTTCGGTGGCTTTCCTTCTGGGTGATAGAATGCATGCATACCTTAAACAGGATGGTTGACGTGGTTGCAATTTTATTTTAATATCCTTCGAACTGATCGGTAGAGGAGCATTGATATCCGTTACAAGTATTTTATCTGTTTAGACAAGTATATTATCTGAATTATAAAAAATTGAGTAAATAATGGTTATAAAATATTATCTTTATAAGAATCAAATACTAAGTACAAAGGTTATAAAAAATATTATAAAAA